TGAGGTCGTGAGTAGAAGCGGCTGGGTAAGGTTTGTCCTTGGTGCTGGTGGAGCTGTGACCCTCCCGTGCCGATTTCTGCAACCCCAAGGAAGCAGGATCTGTCGGGGGACTATCGGGACTGCCCGGAGCAGTCTTGTCTCGCTGCTTCCCTCCTCGTGGAGGCTGCTGCGAGGGCTGACCGCTGGGCTGGCAGCAAGGAGGGCCGGGCCCTGGGAAGATGAGCTCCCTGCTGAGCGTGAGCCCTGTTCCCTGGCAGCGCTCTAACTACCTCCATCGCGAGGCGGTGGAGCTGGCCCGGCACTACCCCAACATCCGTGTGACGCCCTGGCGCATGGTGACCATCTGGGGAGGTGCCAGCCTGCTGAAGATGTACCTGCGGAGCATGAAGGACCTGCTGGAGCTGGCCGAGTGGCCCTGGGACTTCTTCATCAACCTGAGCGCCACTGACTACCCCACCAGGTGAGGACCTTGCTGGGGCAGGGGAGGATGACGGGAGGCGCTCGGGCTGCGTGATGCTGCAGCAGCCTTGGGAGGGGCAGGGAGGAGCAGAGGGAAGATGCGGTTGGAGATTGCACCCACGTGCTGGTGATGGTGCTCCAGGGCCAGGCTGGTCCCGTCTCTGCAGAGGAACCCAGCCAGTACCTCGGAGGCTGTTTTTTTCCTGCAGTCTGGGTGTTGCAGGGGAACATGCATGTGAGGCGCCAGACAGCAGAGAGGCCATGTCTGTGTCTCCTCAGCGATGGGACGAGGTTTTGAGTCAGCACCTGCTGAGCAGCTTTAAGCTCCTTGTGTGTGATGGCTCTTGCAGGATGAATGTTTACTGGGCTGCTTTACCCCGGGGGCCATTAATGCTTTCTAATTTGCACCTCAGGACCAACGAGGAGCTGGTGATGTTCCTATCCAAGTACCGAGATAAGAACTTCCTGAAGTCCCATGGCCGAGACAACGCCAGGTAATCCCAGCTAGGGGCAGAGCTGAGCTGGAGAAACAGAAAAAGGAAGGATTTCAGAACAGGACTGAAACAGTTGGGGGGCAGGGCGGGATGTTCTGGATATAGCTGCACCCAGCAAAGGGCGTGACACTCCTAACCCCTCATCCTTGTCCCCGTGCCCAGGTTTATCAAGAAGCAGGGCCTGGACCGCCTGTTCCACGAGTGCGACTCCCACATGTGGCGGCTGGGCGAGCGCCACATCCCCGAGGGCATCGTGGTGGACGGCGGCTCCGACTGGTTCTCGCTGACGCGCAGCTTCGTGGAGTACGTGGTCTATGCCGACGACCAACTGGTGTCCCAGTTGCGCCAGTTCTACACCTACACGCTCCTGCCAGCCGAGGTGGGTGCTGGCTGCGGGGCACGGGCTGGATTTTCCTTCCACTGTACTGTCTTTGTCCCACTTCATCCCCGCGCTGGGTCGCTGCAAGGGACATTGCTTGTTCTGCTCAGGCAGCTTTGTGCCTCCCCTTTGTCCGGGCACAGGGATGAAAAGAGGGGAGAGAGGAGCAGATGGGGCAAGTGTCATGTTTATATTCAGCCCTGCTTTAGCTCCAGACGCCCCTCTGGCCTGGTGTGGGTGCGCAGCCCGTTTCCCTGTGCTGGGTTTCTGTTCAGGAGCTGTCAAGGTCCATCCTGTTTCTCTGCAAATGAGGGGGGAGTGTGTCTCCGTTAGCCACCCATCCTCCATCCTCACTGTGTGCCCTCTCCCTTCTCCGCCGCGCACAGTCCTTCTTCCACACGGTGCTGGAGAACAGTCACGCCTGCGAGACGCTGGTCGATAACAACCTCCGAGTGACCAACTGGAACCGGAAGCTGGGCTGTAAGTGCCAATATAAACACATAGTCGACTGGTGTGGGTGCTCCCCAAATGACTTCAAACCCCAGGACTTCCTCCGGCTACAGGTGAAAAAGATCCTCCTTTCCCCTCCCACTCTCTCCCCTCCTCCCTGTCTCTCTCCTCTCCGAGCTCCCCTGCGGGCACACCCCTGGGTGCAGTGCCAGCTGCTGTGCATGCCCCTGCGAGCCTCACCC